TTAAGATTTTTTAGGATTAACATTTTTAATTAAAGGTATATAAAAATAGTTAATTTATAATGCCTGATAAAATATGAGCATTAGTAATTCTAACATAAGTATTAGCTTAGATGTATATCCCAATTTAAAATAGCATAGGTAATTATTTAGGTAATTCCAATAGATTCATTTAATGTAAAAAAACAACATAGGTACTTATTTACGTTTTTTCTGCTTCAAGCTATTCATACACAAATGAAAGTGAAAATGTATAATAATGTTTATCTCGTCAAATTAATGTTACGCCTAAAAAATCAAAGAACAATAATATTTCAGAGTTACAGCGAAAAAAACTGAAAATTTCGTGCATTTTGCGGTATTTAAACATTTGTGGTTAAAATAGGGTGTTTGCCATTTAAGAAAAAAATTATTACTGCACATGCGCAAGTCTCATTAAGCTTACAAAATTCCTAGGCCATAAAAATGTGTATTTTTATGTCCTAAAAACCAACTAAAAATCAGAACTCAAATTGCAGTTCTCAAAGCAAAGTTATCGACTGTTCTCAATTAGCGTTTACAGTTTTACACACTGTATATTTTGTTAAATTATTAATAAGGATGTGTTGATATAATTTAAATATTTAATAATCATGTAAAGTAAAATAGGTACATACACTAAACATTACGATTAAAGTCTCTAGAAGATAACCTTCATAACAGTAGCGTTTCTAGGATTTTTCAAGGGGGGGGAGATAAAAATTTAATAGACATGTTGTACCGTGTAAAAATAATTTAATAATAGTATTCATAATCTCGTATAGTTTAATTTCTAAAATCTAACATTAATACAAATTCTAAAAACAACAACCGATTGAAACTTTTATTAATTATCATTGATCACGGACTTCAGTTAACTTACAACCGTCGTGTATGATTCAACTATTCTGGGTATTGTGTTAATATTTAAGTTGAGTACCTTATTCTACCTAAATTAGAATTTTTTTTTCGTGACGCGTGTTGACATTAATCTTTTAATTTGGTCAAAATATGACTTAAAAAAAATAAATTGGTTGTGTGGCTAAAAATATAAAATTACCGCAAACTGCTCAAGAATCGAAAATAATTTCTGGTATGTTTAATAAACAGATAAAACTTGAGGTGATAACTAAGCAATAAAAAAAATATATTTTAATTTAAGATAATATTAATTTGTAAATATATCGTATACCTATATAAGAGTAATAGACTATAGAGTATGGACTATAAGTGATGAATCAGGTAAAATCGATTTATTGATAATGCAGTTAAAAAAAGAAGATATCCTAATAAACTACTAATATTTTCGTTTATCAATATAAATATTGCCTTATAATAGTTTGCAGACTTTTAACTGACATATGTATACAATTGTTTTTCTAAAATATCTGCTACCTTATATTTAAAAATTATGTTACCTAGTTAATAAAAAGGGTATCATAAACAAATTTAAGCAGATAATATGTAGTTGTGAGTGGTTTTTTTTATCCATTCGGGCTGGTCAAAACCTTTGCAACCCCTCTATTGAAAAACGAAATTACGCCACTGGTTGTATAATATTATTGAATTTAATACCATTTATTTTCGTTCATAGATTAGGTTTTAGGTAAGCTGTTCAATCTTCATACAGCTATCAAATAATTGTTTTAAATAAAAATATAAAAATAACCTTCCGGGGAGGGGGGATATGGGGACCGTAGATACTAAACTGTTTCATAATGATAATGTCTTGCGATGAATAGATCAATCCTTATACCGTTGAACTTTATCTGTTAATTATTTATTCAATTTGAACAAGACTTGACATACTAAATAACCTATCGCTATGTTTGATAAACTAAACCGTTGTCTTATATTAACATGACACATTCCATACAGCTCGAAATGATAGTGTTCGTGTAATCTTCGAAGTAAAAAAAACTTGATCTAAATAAAAATAAAAATTTATATTCCTGTTAAATCATTTATGTAATATGAATAACATGTAGTTAATACTTATAATAGTAATATTTAAGATTATATACCTGACGTTTAATTCTAGGGTTTTTTTCTATTAAGGATCGTCGATGTAAGACAAGACTCATCCGATTTACCTGATAATACAAAAATTAAATTTGAAATAAGTCGAAAATACTAATAATTTTAATACAAAATGTACATTACATAGGTACATGCTCTATCTGTGTCTATGTTATTAAGAAAGTTTTATCATTAGTTTTTTATATGGAGAATTTTAATATTTATTCGTTTTTCTTCACAAATGTTACCAAGTATTCATAGTGGATGGGAAATAATTGTATAGAGCTAATTAAACTTACATTAAATTCAATTAATACATAATATTATAATATAAATACCTCTTTTTCGGTGGCGTCGAAAATCGTGTATAAAACTATGACATTGACTGTTCTCATCAACAACGCTATGAAAGAAGCTACCAAATAAGGATCATTGATAATATAGTCTCTAGGGAATAATAAATCACCGTAAATGGTAAATATGATTTCAGCGACATTTGCTCCAATAAAAACAACAATGGCCGGAACACCATATATTGATCTATTGACTTGGTGTAAGCATTCTATAACTTCCAAATACATGTCTCTGAACGTACTTAAGCACGATTTTCTTTCCGGAATTTGTTCATTTATTATGTAGATCATCCACTTCATGTATGATATTAGCAGTATATATTCACAAAAATCAAAGCATTGGCAAGTATTTAAAACCACAATTATGACCCTAAAATAAGTGATATATATTATAGTAAACGGTTTGTGTTTTGTCCATCTGACAAACATATTGCAAAACAAATAGTATAAAGTTAAGTTTCCTCAATGGAATAAATTGATCTATTATCATACAAGACTATTAACTGCATCTTAGAATAAAACATTTAAATTTTTTTATTCGAATACATAATCTGAATATTAATTTTTTTGTATTTATTTAATCATCAAAAAGTTCTTTTTTTGAAACTTAAAAATAATTTTAATTTGTGACAAACCGAATTTTTCTATTAAAAATCGGACAACTATAACTACTTATTAAAATGGTTTATCTCTTTGAATTAAATACGATTGATTCATCATTCCAAAACTGAAAAAAAACATTCTAATAATACCTTTTTGTGAATTCGTATATGTATTCAGCAAAGATTTTTTTTAATGTATTCAGTTGATATTCGATATTAATGTATTAGGAATAACGCAATGCTCATTTAGTTGAATACGTATTCCAAATAAATAATAAAAGTATTCTTAAATACTGATTATT